TAATTTGCTGACTTCTCCAGATCTGAGGGTGTTGTAGACCAGGTTTACTAACTGCATCCTGCTATATTGTTCTCCTGCTGCTGGAGATTAATACCAGCCTGATGTTGAACACTCACTGGGAGTCCACTGTGTCTCTGAAGAGTTACTTTTAGGTATCCAGTAAATAAATGCAGAATCAACAGCAAAAAAAAAAAAAAAAAACCAAACCAACAAAAAAACATTAATAATTTTAGAACAGCAAAGCCAAAACCCTCTTATTTTTTTTTCATCCCTTATCCTTCTGTATAATGAGTTTTTGCAGGGACATGTACTCTTCATTCTCTCTGTTTCACTGGCAAGTGGAAGCTGTGTATCCAGCCTGCTTTGTCCCACAGTACATCTTGTGATTACAATGAGATCTTAATTACAGGCATGTCACAGCAGCACCTGGCACTCTGTTGTGCAGTGGGCAGGGCTGGGCTGCGTGAGGTTTGGGGAGGTCCTGTGGGCACGTGGAGCACTGCCATCCCTGCATCCCTGCCATCCCTGCATCCCTGTCATCCTGCCATCCCTGCCATCCCTGCATCCTGCCATCCCTGCCATCCCTGCATCCCTGCCATCCCTGCCACCCCTGCCGTCCCTGCCATCCCTGCCATCCTGCCATCCCTGCATCCCTGCCATCCCTGCCACCCCTGCCGTCCCTGCCATCCCTGCCATCCTGCCATCCCTGCCATCCCTGCATCCCTGCCATCCCTGCCACCCCTGCCGTCCCTGCCATCCCTGCCATCCTGCCATCCCTGCATCCCTGCCATCCTGCCATCCCTGCCATCCCTGCCATCCCTGCCGTCCCTGCCACCCCTGCCGTCCCTGCCATCCCTGCATCCTGCCATCCCTGCATCCCTGCCATCCTGCCATCCCTGCCATCCTGCCATCCCTGCCATCCCTGCCATCCTGCCATCCCTGCCATCCCTGCCATCCCTGCCGTCCCTGCCACCCCTGCCGTCCCTGCCATCCCTGTCATCCTGCCATCCCTGTCATCCTGCCATCCTGCCATCCTGCCATCCCTGCCATCCCTGACATCCCTGCCATCCCTGCCATCCCTGCCATCCCTGTCATCCCTGCCATCCCTGTCATCCTGCCATCCTTGCCATCCCTGCATCCCTGCCATCCCTGCATCCCTGCCATCCCTGCCATCCCTGCCATCCCTGCCATCCCTGCCATCCCTGCCATCCTGCCATCCCTGCCATCCCTGCCATCCTGCCATCCCTGCCATCCCTGCCATCCCTGCCGTCCCTGCCACCCCTGCCGTCCCTGCCATCCCTGTCATCCTGCCATCCCTGTCATCCTGCCATCCTGCCATCCTGCCATCCCTGCCATCCCTGACATCCCTGCCATCCCTGCCATCCCTGCCATCCCTGTCATCCCTGCCATCCCTGTCATCCTGCCATCCTTGCCATCCCTGCATCCCTGCCATCCCTGCATCCCTGCCATCCCTGCCATCCCTGCCATCCTGCCATCCCTGCCATCCCTGCCATCCCTGCCATCCCTGCATCCCTGCCATCCTGCCATCCCTGCCATCCCTGCCATCCCTGCCATCCCTGCATCCTGCCATCCCTGCATCCCTGTCATCCCTGCATCCCTGCCATCCCTGCATCCCTGTCATCCCTGCCATCCCTGTCATCCTGCCATCCCTGCCATCCCTGCATCCCTGCCATCCTGCTTGTCACACATTCCTGGAACTGGGGCACAAAGCCGCAGCAAAGCAGGCTGTGGTATTTATGGTATTTATCTTTATTTGTGATTCATGGTTTGTCACTTGGTGCCAGGGAGAGCCGGGAGGCAGGGCATGGCAAATGCCAGCGTCTCCTGTGCCGTGGTTCCCTCCCCTGCCAGGCTGATGAGGAGTTGGGGAACAGTGAGTGTCCTGGTCCGTGAGGAGCTGGAGAAACACCTGTGGGGCTTTGCACACAGCAGAGGGCATGGGCTGGCTGTGATGGGCAAGTCAGCTCCTCTGGTTTGCACATTGCAGCTGGTGTGGGATGGGATGGGATGGGATGGGATGGGATGGGATGGGATGGGATGGGATGGGATGGGATGGGATGGGATGGGATGGGATGGGATGGGATGGGATGGGATGGGATGGGATGGGATGGGATGGGATGGGATGGGACGAACAGAAGAACAGAATATTTGTAATTTTAAGGCACCCCTAGTCCCATTCACCTAGACTGACCTAGTGCCTCATTTGGTGCTTCAGGGCTGCCCAAAGCCATCAAGGCCATTGTCCAGGTGCCTCCTGAGCCCTGGCGGCCTTGGTCCATGGCCACATCTGCAGGAGGCCGCTCCAGGCTGGAGCAGCCTCTCGGTGCAGAAATGCTTGCTGCAGCTGCCAGGTTCCAGGTCCCTGTCCCCTCTGGCGGTGGCTCCGGCCGTTCCTGTGGCAGCCATGCAGGGGCAGAGCAGCGGGTGGGTGAGCGGGCGTGTGTGGCACAGGCAGCAGCTGTCCCCTCCTGCTCCTGCCCCCGAACCTCCGCTGGCGTCGGTGCCTCGGGCTGGCAGCGGCACCCCAGAATCGGCTCTGCTGCTGTGGGTGAATGCAGCTTGCTCCTGTCAGCACCGGGGAGCCTCTGGAGCGCACACAATTCTTGCAGCAGGTTTGGGTTTCTATTCCGGGCAGAATCACGGATTCTGTAGTGATCGGTTAACGTTCTTAGTAATCCGCTGTGTTGTGCACGGAAAGCAGCACACTGCTACTATGATTTTCTTCTTCACATGCTGAGATTGCTTTTGCTTCATTGGAATCGTGTAATCATAGAATTGTTTACTTACACAGAATTATCAGATGGCCTGCTGAATCCTGCAGAAAATACTGGAACTGGGAAACCAGTCACTGCATCATCCAAACTTCCCATCAGCAGAACTCTGTATTAATTTAGTAAAGGTGACATCTCTTCTGATAGGTTCAAGGGCCTGGTGAATATTCATATCCAGGTTTGTTTCCTGCCTGCTGACTCGAGCAGGCTTCCCAGATCAGTTGTAGTCATGGATACATGGAAATGACACTTTGGGGTTTGTTTTCTCGGTGGCAATGCCTTTTGCACAGTATTCCAAACATTATAACAAAGAATTACCAAAAGCTCTCCTCCTGCAGTGATGGCAGATCCTGAGCACTTGCACGTGGTTTGATTGTCAGGACAATGCTGCCCTTCCGAGGGGCTCCCTGGAGCTGGGCATCCCCTGGGTGATGGGAGGGCACCCAGTGGGTTTGATTGCACGTGGAAAACATTTCATCTGTTGCGCCAAATGCTTTGGCCAGAAGATTTCAGCCAGAGTATTTGTGAAACTGAAGCTGCAGTTTTGCAGTGCTCACTGCAGCTCCTCTAGCAGGGGTGGTAGGAAAATCTTGGATAAAATCATTCTGAAACAAAGGGCCCACAGAGGAGGGAGGTGATGAGGAGGTGACACAACACCTGTGGAGCTGAGCCCTTCCCCCAGAGGATGTGGGAGGCTGTCAGGAGGTTGTGGGGACCCTGGTGTCCCATGGGGTCTGTTGTGGGATCTCCTGGAGAGATCTCCAGAGATCACAGAGTCGATAAAGTTGGAATAAGATCATTATCCAAGATCAGGGAATGCAGCCTTTGACCGATCACCACAAAGTCAGCTAAACCAACTAAACCAAGTAAACGTGGAGCAGTCGTGCTGCTTCTGCCCTTCAGCAGCCCTGAGGGAGGGAACTGGGTGTGCAGGGACACACGGAGTGCGAGCTGGCCCGGATTCTGTTCTCAGTTTCATTTGGCAAAGTTTCCTGAGCTCTCCTGCAGAAAAAGTCCCACAGAAGTGACAATAACAATATTTTGGATATAAGCCTAGCACAAAAGGGTAATAGGAACTCCATGGGCATGCGTGGGCTCTTGATTCATCCTCAGAGATGACAGATGTGCATTTATTTAAAATCTAGGAGTGGGACTCATAATATTTATAGTGAATTCTTTGTTCCCACTCCTCCTGAGTGATTGTGGTCTCTGTGGCCAGCCACCAGGCTCAGTGCTCACTGCTGACCATCTTACGCTGCAAACCCCTGAGCCCATGCCAAGCATTTCTTTTCTCCAGAGATCTGGCAATGACTGCTGAGGGTGTCCTGCACGGTGGGGGTCTCATGGTACAGCTGCTGGGGCTGACAGCTGTATCTGAGCAGTGGGCTCAGCCCATCAGCAAGCTCCTCCTCACCTTGTCTTCTTTATTTCAAACTGATATTAAATTAAACCGCAGCAGTACTTTGGAATAAAAATAATTTTGTTTGCAGAGCAGCTGATGGAGGCAGTGGCTGAGTGTTACAGCTGCACAATCATCTCTTGTCATTGCTCCTCATGCTGGCTCTGGAAAAAGCTACGGATCTCTTCCAGAAGGGTTTGCACGTGAAGGGAGTGGAGGGATGTCCCTGTCCTCTAATGCTGTCCTTTGGCAGCACCAGCAGCAGCACCCCCAGCGCTGGCTGAGCACAGGGGATGGGGCGGTGTCTGTGGGGCAGGGGGCTGTGGGGCAGTGTGCAGTGGGGCAGTGGGAAGTGTTTGTGGGGCAGTGGGAAGTGTTTGTGGGGCAGGGGGCAGTGTGCAGTGGGGCAGGGGGCAGTGGGGCAGTGTGCAGTGGGGCAGTGGGCAGTGGGAAGGCAGGATCAGAGTGTGGGGCAGGGTCTCACCACGCTCTCCACTCTGCCACACTTGCAGTTTGCCCCTGAGCTCTGTGGAGCTCCCCTTCCCCCCGATCCACACAGGTTGAAGCTGTATTTTACTTTGTGCTAAACCACTAATTCAGTAACCTCATCCACCCTCTGCCAGCTCCCTCAAGCACCTGGAAAGAGACTTGAAAGGAAAGCTGTCCTGCAGCTTCCTTCCCCAGAGGAAAACTTTTAACATAAGCCTTGCCAAGGCTCTGTTGTAGTTGTCTCTCTGCCTTCTTTTAAATGCAAGCTTATTTGTAGTAAAGCATTTACAAATGTAAATTCTTTTTTCTTTACCTTGTAGTGAACTTTGACCACTTCCAGATTCTCCGGGCCATTGGGAAGGGAAGCTTTGGCAAGGTAGGCTTGAGCTCTCAGTCTTGCATGGTTTATCAGGTGTCTGCTGTTATGTACTAGTGGTTTACTGCAACAGTAATGGGGCCAAATTTGGCTATTTTTGTATTTTTTAACGATGGCTGCTCAGTCAACAGAGGAAAAATGTTCAGGAAAATGCCTTGTTGCCATTTGGCTTTGCTGTAATTCTTGGCATCTTGGTGCAACAGATGTGTTGTAAGTTACCAGCACAATTGGGACCATTTTACAGCAAACATTCTTTATGTTTTCAGTTTCCTGTGCGGATGTCTGGGTTGTGGGGGGGGGGCAGTGAGGCAGGAAGGTGCTGGAAGCTTTCCTTGGTGCTTGACTGAGCTGGCACACAGGTCAGCAGGGTTCTGTGAAGTCCTGGGCTGTTTTCCCAAGCAGAAATCGGTTATGCTGAAGAGGTTTTGTTATTTATTTTTAACTGGCTTTTCTTGCCAAGCGTGTGGGAGGACGTGGGAGGTGATGATCAGAAAGCTGTGTGTCTCTGGGAGCGGTTCCTGTTGGTTTCCTAGTGTCAGTCCTTTTCCAGTCCTGTTCCTCGGGCTGGCTGTGCAGTGACTGCGGCGTTTGCCCCGCTCTGGCAGTGCCAGCGGTGACCTGACAGTGCCAGCGGTGATCCAGGCAGTGCCAGCAGTGATCCAGGCAGTGCCAGCAGTGACCTGACAGTGCCAGCAGTGATCCAGGCAGTGCCAGCAGTGATCCAGGCAGTGCCAGCAGTGACCTGACAGTGCCAGCAGTGATCCAGGCAGTGCCAGCAGTGATCCAGGCAGTGCCAGCAGTGATCCAGACAGTGCCAGCGGTGACCTGACAGTGCCAGCAGTGATCCTGACAGTGCCAGCGGTGATCCCGACAGTGCCAGCAGTGATCCAGGCAGTGCCAGCAGTGATCCAGGCAGTGCCAGCAGTGATCTGACAGTGCCAGCGGTGATCCAGGCAGTGCCAGCGGTGACCTGACAGTGCCAGTGGTGATCCTGACAGTGCCAGCAGTGATCCAGGCAGTGCCAGCGGTGATCCTGACAGTGCCAGCGGTGATCCCGACAGTGCCAGTGGTGATCCTGACAGTGCCAGCAGTGATCCTGACAGTGCCAGCGGTGATCCCGACAGTGCCAGCGGTGATCCTGACAGTGCCAGCGGTGATCCAGGCAGTGCCAGCGGTGACCTGACAGTGCCAGTGGTGATCCAGGCAGTGCCAGCAGTGATCCAGGCAGTGCCAGCAGTGATCCAGGCAGTGCCAGCGGTGATCCTGACAGTGCCAGCGGTGACCTGACAGTGCCAGCAGTGATCCAGGCAGTGCCAGCGGTGATCCTGACAGTGCCAGCGGTGACCTGACAGTGCCAGCAGTGATCCAGGCAGTGCCAGCAGTGATCCAGGCAGTGCCAGCGGTGATCCTGACAGTGCCAGCAGTGATCCAGGCAGTGCCAGCAGTGATCCATGCAGTGCCAGCGGTGATCCCAACAGTGCCAGCAGTGATCCTGACAGTGCCAGCGGTAATCCCGACAGTGCCAGCGGTGACCTGACAGTGCCAGCAGTGATCCCGACCCTGCTGGCTCGGCTGTGCCACCTGCCTGCTGACTCTGCTGTGGGCTGGGGCCGTGTGCCAGCACTGGGGCTGTGGGTGGAGGCATGACCATGGAAAAGTCTGAAACGTGCAGTGTCAAAGCTGTGAAGGGCCCAGCCTGGCTCAGTGGGTGGCACAAGTGTCCCCGTGCACTGGGGACATAAAAGGACAGCTGAGGGGCTGGGCAAGCTGCCCCTGCTCGTGTTTCCCTCCAGTCAGGTCACCTTGGCTGGCTTCTCCCATCACACTGATCAAAAGCTGATGCCACGAGGGTGAGAACATCCAGGTCTGGCTCTGGAGATGGCCCACACCGTCCTTTGCCATCTCCTCTGTGGTACAGCCTGGCAAGGTCGTGTTCCACTTGGCCTGAGCTGCTCTGCTTGGAGGGCTGGAAGATGGAAACTTTGCAAAAGCAGAAATTTCCCAGGATATCTGAGACCTGTTTGGTCAGAAGGACCCAAATTTTTACCAATTGCCAAGATCTCTTTTTGAATACTTTATGTATATTAAGCAGTTCTGGTGCTGTGTAACGGTGGCAGCACAAAATCAGCCGTGGGATGATCTGCATGGGGAGCATCCAGCTGTTCTGAGAGGCAGGACAGGGGACACTCAGTCCCAGTGCTGCCATCAGTGCTTCTTTCTAGAGAAGAAGTTCCTGTACAGCCTCAGTTCCCTGACTAACACCAGGAGATGGATTATCCTGCTCTGGCACAGCCCACCCACGTGAATTCCTGCTGGGCTCCCATGAGAGTCTGCCTGGGGCTTCCAGGGTAATGGAAATGGATTGCCAGCAGTGTGCAAGTCCCTGTGACGGTTTGAGGGGGTGGTTTGAAACACTCACCCCTCTTTGCAGCCACATCCCTTGAGCAAGGAGAGGCGAAAGCGTGCAGCAGAGCTCTGTCAGATTTCTGGGCTTGTGCTGAATGATGGCGAATGATTAAATACCAGCTCAGTCCTTGGCTGTGAGGACAAGGCAAACAGCTGAAGAAAGTCTCCCCAGACACTCCTGGTGAGAACAGGAACACTCAAGGTCTTGTGTCTTCAGCTCACAATCAAAGCTCAAACACAACTCAAAACCTCAGTGAAAAGGAGCAGCCCACATTTTTGTTTCGAGCTGGTAGGAGAAGATTCATACTTCACATACAAACTTTCCAGGCAAGGAAGTTTTATTCTTTTAAGGAGCAGCACCTGGAAAATTAATTCTGCTCAGAACATGGAACAGAGAAAAACCAATTCTTGTCCCAGGGCAGGAGTCTCTTGGCTCTGAAGAGAGCTGCTCCCTGCGCTGCTCGCTCTGCGTTGCAGAAAGGTTAAGTCTAGCACATAGCAGTCTATCAGGCATCAGAACCGTACACACACTGTCAAAAAAATGCTGAAATGATTCATCTGTCATCTTTCTGGATGACTTTGTCAATATGCTGAATTTCCTCTGACACTGAGAAAAGCTTTTTGTATTTACCAAGTCATTTACACCTCACATTTAATTACAGAAAACATAAAACTACCTACCTGGCAAGCGTTACTAAAAATTTAGGAGTGACTTAGTTGGTTTGCTTGATGAAACCACTCTCTGGCCACGTTGAGGAAGATACTGAGGAGCCAATGTAGACCCTCGGTGTGCGAGTGACCTGTGGGAGCTGTGGCACCGTGTGATCTCACGGTGACAGGGCCTGGGGCCAGCGCCTGGGGTGGCCTTGGGCACAGCATTTCCCTCCACGGTCCCTTGGTGCACCTCTCAGACAGACAGTGATGTCCTCGGTGTGGGGAGTGTAGGAAGGGAAGGAAAAAACAGCTCAGAAATCCCTTTTGAAGAGCCCGAGAGCCCCAGAGCTGTGGCTCTGGCATATCTGCAACGAATGGCCAATTTCTGTTTTCTAGAGGTGGGTTTGATCAGCTTTAAGGTACAATTGATCAAATGAAGGTCAGGTTCAATTCCATGTTTACGACAATTAGCAAGTGTGGAATATTTTCCACACATAGTAGAAGTGATATTATTTGATTTTCAGTGATTTAATGTCAGCATAGTGTTTCCTGCAGCACAGGCTCCTTTCCAAGCAGCAGCATCAGCAGTTGCCCAGGTTTGGGCTGCTCTGATGCCATTTCCTGAGGAGCAGCAGCCAGGAGGGGGTTTTGTAGAATGGGGTGCAGTTTGTGGCCCTGTTTTGGTGGGAAATATGCTCTGAGGTTCACTGTGCTTCAGGAGAGACAGCATGAGAGGCAGGGATCTCCGAAGGCAGCGGTGGCATTGCAGGAGCAGCACCTCTGCCTGTTGAAGGTGCCTCTTGTGGCTCCAGCCCCGTGAGGCAGCTGGGGCTGTGTGCTCCCACCTCCTCCTCCCTCCTGGGCTTCCCTGGTGCTTCTGCAGCCCCAGCCCCGCTGCCTTTTCCAGGGATCAGCAGCTGGATGGGGCTGTGGGAATGCATTATTTACACTTCACTGCTGAGAGGAAATAAGAGCATGTCTGAAGTTTTTCGGCGTGGATTTGTGCCCTTGTGTGCCGTTGGAAATAGGGGATTAAACCAGGGCTGGGGCTGGAATGAGCAGCAGCAGGAAATGGGATCTTCCAGAGGGAGCCAGTATACCTGGGTGGGTGCTGGGGCCCGTGGGGGTCTGGCTTTCCATTTGCTCCAGGGGGCTGGGGGTCCTGGTCCCTGTGCCCAGCTCCACTGACCCTCCCAGGGAGGGCTGGCTGGGTCTGAGTTGCTCTGTACAAGTACTTCAGCTTCATGATTTTGTTGCTTTAATAATTCACACAGCCTGGAGCTGGGTATAGAAAGGCTCTAATCCATTTTCTAAAGGTCACAGATGCCCACCCAGTAGCTGCACCATAAATAAAATTCCCTTCAAGTCTATTCTCAACTGAATCCCCCTTTGACATCAACAGTAGCTTGATCTATTTTCTTTTTTCCAGCTTTATAAATGTTGGATTTTTCCCCCTAAAGAAAGGCTGGAAATGTAATCCCTTGGTATTTAGCTGCCACACATATTTTTTGCCCTTGATTTTTCCTTTATTGTCCTTCATCTCACATGAGGCTGAGGGTTTGCTGGAGCCACTGGCAGGGCTGGGCAGGGGCTGTCCCTGCTGGACACCACTCATGTCACTCCATCACACGCCGTGCCACTGGCAGGCTCTGGAGCCAGGGCTGCTTTGGCTTTGTGGAAGGGCAGCCTGGTCATGGAGAGGGCACAGCCTGAGCGGGGTCTGTGCTCCTGGGTGCTGGAGAGCTGCTGCTGTGGGGCCATCAGTGCTGGTCAGGCCCATCCTGCTGGCCCCAAGGCTGCCCAGGGCATCCTGCAGGGTGAGGAGATGGGGACCTGCAGCAGGAGTGATGTGAAGGGCATTAACACTAGGGACAGGCTCAGCCCCAGAGGTGCTGGCACTGCCCAGGCTCCCCAGGCCATGGGCACGGCCCCGAGGCTGC